TATATATATATATATATATATATATATACACACACACAGTATATACCTGTGTATATATATATATATATATATATATACACAGTATACCTGTGTATAGACAGATGAGTAAATTGCAGCTTTATAAAAGGTCATTTTTTTAGGTCAAGGTCATTTTCCTTTGATAAAATGTTTTAGTTGAGCAACATTCAGTTTCTAGTGTAGAGCTGTTCTCAGATTAAAATGTTACTTTTAATTTAAACACACATTTGTTTGTGAGTTTGAGCATCAGCTGTTGTCTGTGGAGGAACACCCTGACCTGGAGAAACTGAGGAAAATTATAAAAAAAAGAGAAGATTTGATATTTTTGTAAAAGAATTGTGTTTATTTCCACATAAACAATAGCTGCAAACATTGATGTGTTTGAACTGATTAACAGAATAATGAACTTATTGGTACTTGGCGGTGCATAAAAATACTAAAAAGCTTAAGAACAAATCTTTTACAGAGCAGACTCCTGGAGGCTGAGCTCAGAAACATTTTCACACTTTTTTGAAGCACGTTCAAACTTAGGAAATGTCTTGAAGCATAATCAACCGTTTTATAATTTCAATACATTTTACAGAGATATTCAGTATTTTCTCTTGGAATCACGTGTTTGTGCAGATTTTAAACCCAAACGTTCAGGGAGTTTGCACATAATTCATGTCAAACTGCAGCTAATGAGTTGAAGACTCGCTCCAGCTGCTCTTCAAACATGTTCAAAACGTCTGCGACACACGAGCGAGGCCTTCGACCACTGAAGGCCCCCAAGACTCCAGAGACACTTTGAGACTCTCGTGAGCAGCGGTGTCTTGTTGCAGGACTTTCGAACATGTTTTTAAAAATTGCCAAACATATTTGATCCCAAAATTGTCGCAAAGTCTGGATCGTCTCGATGCCTTCATAATTTACAGAATCGAGTCAGGAGGTACGTGAGAGAACTTTGGGAAGGTTCGGGGAAACCAAACAAGCGTGATCAGAAAGACGTTTTGTCTCTAAAATGACACGAAGAAGTTCTCATGTCGTCAGAAGAAAAGAACAACGAGACACGTTTTCAATCCTTTCATTGGAAATGTGTCGTTAGTTTAAACTGAGAGACCGCAGCAGAAAATCTCCATCATTTCTCACAATCTTCCAACAACCTGGAGTCTCACAGCAGCTCATGGCTCTGGATTAGATTTTGTTCTGAGAACTACCAAAGTTTCAGATAAAAAAAAAATATATATAATAGTAAAAATAAATCTGAGTTGTGTCATTTGGAGGTTAAAGGATCGACATCAAAAAGTTTCCAACCGGACTAAAAGAAACGAGTTTAAAACAAATGGAAACTTCAACATGACGTCATCAGGATGTGGAGAGTCTGCTTTCATCGAATCCATCCAGACCGTCCACATTTTAAACACCGTATGAGTAACAGAGGTCCTTCTTCAGGAGGTCTGAACAGATTCAGCAGAGATTGAGCATCACTTCATGGTGCGGGATTATAATGCAGAGAGATTTAACGTCCTGCAGCAGCAACGTTCCCTCAGATGATCTGTGTTTTCGTGGTGGACAGGAAAAATCCACAAAAATCAGACCGGACGAGAATTCACGCGGCAACAGGAGATAAAAACATTTTTAGATGTTTCACGTGTGGACATTTATTTATGAGTATTGAAACGAAACCCATCAAACTGAACCTCCAGCTGTTTCTGGTGCTCGGCCTGAAGGAGTGCTGGATGACATCACACGTATCCTGTGATGTCATATCCTGCCGCCGGGGGCTTCTTCGCTCCCTGACCTGCGTGAGCGCTGGACTCTGAGCTGCCTGTGCTGCGGAGGAGTGTCTGCCCCCTGCTGGCCACGCCCACCTGCACGGTGGGGTTGCGGTAGGTCTGCGTGGTCGTTCGAACCCCCGAGGCCGTCATGGCGACCCCTGAAGGGTACGGGTATCCTCCGCCGTGCCGCCTCCCGCGGCCCCCCTCGTGTTCCTCCCAGCACGACACGCTCAGCATCCCCCCACCCAGCATGGAGATGAGCGCCGAGGCCAGGCCGAGGTACAGGCACTCGCCCAGCTCGTACTTCATGCCGGCTGGGATGTTGGAGCTGTAGAACGTCTGGACCACCTCGTGCGTGGTCCACGCCACGGGCACGAGAGACAAGAAGCCTGCAGAGAGGAACAACCCCCCACCGGCCCCCGCTATGCGACTCTTTACCGCACCTGAGCCCTCCAAGCAGAGAGTGCACTGCATCCCCAGGGCTGCCATGGCAACCGCCAGGATGGACAGCACGACAGAGATGACCATGAGGGCTCGAGAAGCCTGGAGGTCAGAGGGCAGCGCCAGCATGGAGTTGTAGGTCTCGCACTGGAAGGCCCCCGTGCTCTGGTAGACGCACTCCATCCACAGGCCCCGCATGTTCATCACCACCGTCACGATGTTGGAGCCCACGTGCGCAGAAATCCGCCAGTACGGCAGCACCGTGGCAACCAGGGTTCCCAGCATCCCCAGAAGGCCCAGGAAGAAGCCCATCAACTCCAGAGCTGCTGAGGCCATGATGGAGACGCCAACCAGGACGACCTGAAGGCAAAGAAGGGACGGAGGAGACCCAAGTTATTTATTCATAGAGAAGAAACTTGTGTCATTGGTATCGTGTTTAACTGCACCTCCTGCGGACAAGCAGTGTGGATGCTTATTGCTGAAGAACTTGATGGAAAACAGCTGAAATTAGCTATAAAAAAAAAAACATGCTGGAATGTAGCTGAAGTAGAAAAAGAAGCCTAGGTTAGCAGAAGAAAACAAAAAGAAGACATTTGCTGAATTAGGTTTAAATAAGCAGAAATGAGGCAGCACGGTGGCGCAACTGGTAGAGCTGCTGCCTCTCAGCGAGCAGGTCCTTGGTTCAAACCCCGGGCCAGGGGCCTTTCTGGGTGGAGTTTGCATGTTCTCTCCGTGCATGCGTGGGTTTTCTCCGGGTACTCCGGTTTCCTCCCACAGACCAAAAACATGCATGTTAGGTTGATTTGTAACTCTAAATTGTCCCTAGGTGTGAATAAGAGAGTGAGTGGTTGTTTGTCTCGTTTGTCTCTGTGTGTCTCTGTGATGGACTGGAGACCCGTCCAGGGTGTACCCCGCCCCTCGCACAGTGATTGCTGGACATGGGCACCGGCGACCCCCGTGACCCAAAATGGAATAAGCGGGTAAAGATAATGGATGGATGGGTGGATAAGCAGAAATGAGCACAAAACTTGGGAAATGATCGCTAAAAACAGCTTAAATTAGCAAAAAGTAGCTGAAAAGTTAGAAAGAAGCTTAAACTACCAGAAGGAAGTGGAAGAAGCTGAACTGAGTTTATATATATATATATATATATATATATATATATATATATATATATATGTGGAATTAGCTGAAATAGTTACATTTAGGAAAGACAAGTAAATAGTAGCTGAAATAGCAGAAAAAGCTGAAACTTGCAGAAAGGAGCTGAAAGGAGCACAAAACAGCTGAATGTAGCTGATTTATTTATTGTTGTTTTTTTGCACAAGGAAACAAAGAAGTTTAACCAGATCTAAACGTGAAAGGAGCAGTAAAAGGTTGTAAACAGAGCTAAAGATTTGAAGAATAAGAAAAAAATGTCAGAAAAGGCTAAATATTTCTAAAAGCTAAAGTTGCACCAAAACCAAAAGCCATAGCAGGATTGTCGTGAACGAGCTGAACCTTTTGATTTATGATTTGTTGAAATGGTTTGAAAACTGCGGCACGGGAAAGATGCGGAAACATGAAGCGGAATAAAAACGAATCACCGTGGAGTGAGCGCTTCATAAACATCCAGACAATAAAGTCCAAATGTGATGAACTGAAATTAATTTCAGTTTTTTAAATAAAACAAATAATTTAAACGCCTTTTCAAAATTGGATGCCGGGAAGAACAAACAAGCAAATTCTTCTTTTAAACACATTTTGATAGATTTCACTCTCATTATGCATGTTGAGAAAATATTGACGATTGTGATTGTGCATTAATTTTAATCACATTTCGTTTGGAGATAGAATTAACAGATTTAACGATTACTGTAAAAGAGTTCCAAGGACAGAAGAGTTCAGGTGTGGTCGCAGCTCATCTAGGTTACATTTCAACATTTTTAATTACAACAGGCCTTCGCAGCGCTTTGCTGCTCGGGCCTAATAATAAAATAAACATGTTTACAGGGTAATAATGTTTATTCCTCCAGCTGTGGTTGATAATAGCATTCAGTTAATACTTTTTTTTTTTTATCTAATGCTTTTTCTTTGTTGAAAGAATCGGTAACTTCCCAACGACTGCCTGAAAACACCCAGGTGTCAATTTAAAATGCTGCCACATTAAACAGAATTAGTCATTTATCTCATTCTATTTGTCATTTATTAGATTCAAACTGTTTTCTGTTCAGCAAACATGAACTCGCCTCAGAATACATGATGTTCACACGCAGCCCGTGTTTCATGCGTTACCTGAGAGTTGTGCAGGTTAGAGGCGAGCGGTGACGTTCCTGTAGCTGCAGGTCCAGAGGAGGACGAGGATGAAGACGCAGCCTGCTCAGAACTTCTCGCTGCGTCTTCAGCTCAGAGGATCTTTTCTTCTTGCAGGTTCAGACTCTGGCTGCTCCCTCGCTCCTCGGCATCGTGGCAGCTGCCGTGTTGCTGCTGCGGGCTCGATCAGACCCGGGCAGCCAGAAAAATACTTCAGCTGAAGAAGAAATATGGTGCTATGAGTTCAGCGCTTGTTGCAGGTGATCCACTTAGAAGATTAACAAAGCAGGAGGAGAAAGCCTGCGCAGAGTTTTCTGTCCCCGTCCCTCATGTCCGAGCTGCCGTCTGTTGATGTCTGTCCTTCATCCAGACCTTCACCTGCTGTCATGTACACACTCTGAAGCCCAAAGCCTGATTGTGACACACATTCCAGTTGACAGCCGGGTTAATCATTTTCTCATCTGTCATTTCTCCAAAACCCACGTTTGTTCAATCGAGTTCAGCAGCACCCCCTCTGCAAGAGAAGGACATTTTCAGGGCTTGTTCACGTGGGAAAAGTTCATGTCACAGATAAAAATGTACATTTGCAGCGTTAGTGAGTGGGACATGAGGCTGAGGATTCTCTCCACTCGTTAAAAGTGGGAGCACCAAGTCAGGTGACCAGTAACAAGTTACGTTCAGCCACGACATTCATCAGACTCAACTCGTAGTTACAGAGAATTATTGTCGCAATATTATTCTGAATGAGGAGAAAACTGAATTAGCCTTTTAAATTTTATTATAAAGTAATAAATAAAAAACAATCATCAACAGCAGTAAACAAAACTGACAACACGAATCATAAATAATAATACTTTGGAGAATAACTTGAAAAGGTAAAGTACTAACAATAATCTGCCATGGATTATTTCTCTTTTATCTCTTACTTAATGTGACCGGATCAAGTCTTTGATTATCACGTCAAGCAGGAAATGTTGGACTGATCAGGATTTTGTGTTAAAACCAAACTTAAAACTGATGATGATCTAAAGCTTGAAGCGTTGCTTCTGACTTTGGGATCCATTTCCACCCCTCAAACTGAGGGAAATGTTCCACTTTTAAAATGTATTCGATGAAAAGATGGTGCCGTTTGAACTTATCCATAGTCGGGTCACAGAGGCAACAGGTTCAGGAGAGAAACCCAGACCTCCCTGTTTCCAGCTCCTCCTGAGGGAGCCCGAGGTGTTCCCAGGTCAGAGAGGATGTATAACCCGAGTTCTGGGTCTGTCCTGGGGTTCCTTCCCAGTGGGATGTGCCAGAAGGGCATCCTACTCCGAGCACCCCCTGGATGACCGAGCTCCTCACTCTGTCTAAAGAAGCTCATTTTGGCTGCTTGTATCCAGGATCTTCTTCTTCTGGCCCTGATCCAAACCTCAAGACCACAGGTGAGGGTTGGAACGTAGACCAGCTTTGTCTTTCAACCAAACGCTTTCATCACCTCGACCGACCGAAGCAACACCCTCATTACCAAGGACAAAGCCTCAATCCATTGATCCATCTCAACACAAAATGATAAGTTTCATGACAAACTAAAAGAACCTGCAAGTGATGATGCTGGAGGTAATATTCTCTTTTAAGCTCATTTAGCTGCATTTTAATTAAACCAAACCTCGTCTTTTCAGTACGTCAGCCTTTTTTTTTTTAACAGACTCAACAACGACTGAACGCACAAACTATTAAAGAGTCCAATTATGAGAAATAGTTTCAAAAAGACTTAAATTTGGATCTTTAGCTGTGTATCCACCAACTGAATGTGACAATGTCTGATCAAAACCATTCAGGCATTAATCATAAGGCTGACTGTCAACAAGAACTAACAGAACATTGATTTTTTAATATTATTTATTTGTCCAGACAAAGTCCTGCAATCTAAATACAACAAGGTCGTAGATTAGATTAGGGGGGAGGTTATGACATCATCGTTTTCAAACTGCTGTGTTTCACCTGTTTACATGAAAACACAAAATCATCATTTCAAGATTTTATCACCTCTGGAAGCCATTTTTAAACTTTTTCATTTTGGGGCTCCTAAAGCTGTTTGTGGTTGGTTCACGAGTTAAAAAACAAAAAAATAAATATGCAGATAAATTTGCTGAGACGTACACTTCCCCTGAATATTTTATCTGTGTTTTGGCACCTTCGAAGCTCCGTACAGAAACGTTCTTCAGGCTGCAGCTGTGAATTTACAGCTCAGTTAAACTGACACAAAACTTGGCAGCCAGCTGTTTTTAATCAATTTAAAATATAAGTATTGGCTTGTCACTTTTAAGACTGATGAAATCAATTAGAAATTAATATATATATATATATATATCCTAAGAATCCTAAAAACTAATAATACATACCATGCCTGGGTATCCCAAAGTGACAGACAGGGACATTTACAGTATCTCCCTTCTCATACATCCCATCAGTGGGTAACTCCTACCTTTACTCAGTTTGCTGATTCAGTCCTCAAACCCGAGCCTTCGGGTCCTGATCCGTCCAAACGGACCTCACATGGCTGCAGCATCATAATGGGATTAGGGGGTGTAATCCACTCACTTCCCCTCCAAAGCAGACTGAGAGGGCCACGTCCGCACACCCTGAAACACTGAGCCTTTCTTACAAACCACAGAGAGGCATTATCTGGACACGCTGCATACTAACGAGCCTGCTCAGGTCGGCTTGTGACCCTTTGTTGTCGAGCTGAAGCAGCCTGGTGGTCACTTCCTGATCGTCAAAGAACAACAACGTAACACTTTTTGTTTCAGACAACAGCAGGTAGAATATATGACATCAACATGTAAACAACTGCTGCCATTCTGTAACCATGTAAACGTTCATTCAACCTCTGTGTGTTTGTGGAAGGCAGACGATGAGATGAGGCGCAGTCCCTTTTCAAGTTATCCCAGTGATGGGCGGAGGGAAGGACGAGCATTTTCACTTCAAACAATGAATACGCCAAAAGAAAAGTCATGGAAACATGTCAGTCTTCCATCTCCTGAACTGCTGATTAAACATGGTCAGTCATACAAAACACAACAAAACCACTGTTCCACTGGTTCACTGGTCCACTGTTCTACTGGTCCATTGTTCCACTGGTTCACTGCTATT